AGGTAGGCAGGTAGGGAGGTAGGGAGGTAGGGAGGTAGGCAGGTAGGCAGGTAGGCAGGTAGGCAGGTAGGCAGGTAGGTAGGTAGGTAGGTAGGTAGGTAGGTAGGTAGATGGATAGATAGATAAAAAGATAATCGACTGATTGACACACAGACATGCAAACAAACGCGTATAGCAACACCTACATGCAAATAGAAATATAAACTATGATATAGACACACATTCCATGTACATACAGTCTCGGTCTTGGACCTTTGATATAGATATAGCCATAGATAAAGACATAGATACAGAAAGTAAGCAGGTAGGTAGGCAGGTAGGCAGGTAGGTGGGTAGATAGGTAGGTAGGTAAGTAGGTAGGTAGGTAGGTAGGTAGGTAGGTAGGTAGGTAGTGGTAGGTAGACAAGTACATAGGTAGAGGGCCAGATCGACAGATAGATAGGTAGACAGGTAGGTAGACAGGTAGATAAGTAGATACGAAAAAAACAGATGGACAGATAGATAGGTTGCTAGGTAGATTGGCGGATAGATAGGTAGACAGATAGATTGGCGGATAGATAGAAAACTAGCTAAAGAGATAGATACATAGATAGATAGACAGATAGATAGATATACGCGCAGATAGGTAGATAGGGAAAACAAAGAGAGAGAGAGAGAGAGAGAGAGAGACAGAGAGAGCCTCCACAACCCATTATTATGAATGCCCTATAGGGTTTTTATCAGCAATAAGTCTTAACTTGCAGACGGATCATTGAGATCGTTGAAGGTATTCCGTCATTAAGGCTTCATGGAGTCTCAGGGGGTGCAGGGCTTACTTGATTTAGTTTCTTTAGGGGTTTAAGGGTTAGGGTTTAGGGTTTAGGATTACGGGTCAGGGTTTGGGGCTTTAGGGTTAGGAGGTCAGGCCTACAGCTGGAGTTAGCTTGAACGCAGGTTGTATCCCTGAGGCGAGGTCGTGAAAATCAACCAAACATCGTATGTTCGCTCTCGCCCGCTCTCTCCCTCTCTCTCGGGTATGTATGTGCCACTTTTTGTTTACACACATGTATTTATATCTGTGTCTGTATCCCATCTATGTACCCGATCTATCTATCTACCATTATCTACCCTAAACCCTAAACCCTGAACCCGAAACCCTAAACCCTAACTACTTCCGTCTCCCTCGCTCTCTTCAGAGACAACCCTGAAGAGCCCGAATGCACAGTACGGTTTCGGGTTGAGGTTTCCCTAGATGGGGCTAAGGAGTTCCTTCCCAAAAGGGCTTAGGGTTTGTCGTGTTTTGTTTTTTTTTTTTTTAATGGGCCCTTTTCCGACTGCAGATCAGCCTAGAATTCCTTACCAGGAGGAGCCTGCTAGGGTTTGGGGTTTAGGGTTTAGGGTTTATGCTTTACGGGCTTTTTAAAGTTTCAACGGCTTCGCTAAGGTTTCAGTATGGACGCCGCTCAACAAAGGCTGTAAGGAAAGCTCACACACCAAGCATGACAGGCCTAATCCCTTGGCTATGCTGATATAGGAACCTGATTGAGAAATCTTGTGTCTTCATTGGGGCTCGATATATTATGAATCCTAATGGTTTGGGGTTAGAGAGTCGGAGTTTCTTAATCAGGTTGCTGCAGAAGCATTTTAGCCAACGCTTCTCTCCAACCGGGGTGGAAGTTCCTTTAGGGGTTCCTCCCTAAACCCTAAACCCTAAACCCTAAACCCCCTAAACCCTAAACCCTAAACCCTGAACCCTAAGTCCTAAACCCTAAATCCTTTAAAGGTTCCTTCTAGGATTCCTATGGTTTCAATAGGGGCTGAACAAACGGAGAGCCTCGACCCAACTGTGGCGATGCCTGTGGCGATGCCTGGTCGGCGGCTCAAGGAGGCAAAGAGGGAACATTGTGCTACTGTCGATGATGGGTGGTTGTCAAAATTATGGTCCCTTTTGGGGTCCGTAATATGATACGGCACCTAATATTTAGGGTGCCCAAAAAGGGACCCTAATTTTGACAACTACCCATATAACTCCTGCATTTTTTGAAGGACCCTAAACTAGGGGAACTTTGGTATACTCCTTGTTCTGGGTCATGCAAGCTATATATATATATATATATGCTA